ACAGACGACCCCGTAACAATATGCGTTTTGTACTGCTGTTACACAGCACAAAACGCATAAAAAGTACTATATTTTAGTCAAAAAGCACCCACAATTCTTAATTTACAAAGGGGCTTGCCAGCAGCATAACTTCTTTGAATGCACATTTTCTTGCGTTGTTGCGTATAATAAAAAACTTGCATTATGGTGGGATCATCTCTGACATACATGTATGTGTCCATGTTCTTTACACGATAATTCAGCTTCTGAATTCAGTAGGTACGCCCTTTAGCTGCTCACAGCAATACCTTGCTGACTGCACGCGATATCCTATTTTTGACTTTTCAAAGATACCTTTGGTATCTTTGCAAGAAGGCTTGTTTTAGCAACGAATATCGGAGGGCATAACAAGGCAGCGATGCGACTACCCGACCATGGACGACATATGCAGCGATTGGGAGTCTGTTGATGAGACCGATGCATCTAAGACCAAGAAACCGGCGCCGAAAGGTGCCAAGCCGCAAAATCAAACAGCCCAGGCGCAGCAGCATTCATCAAGCCAAGCGCCGCCGCAGCAGCATTCAAGCCAAGCGCCGCCGCAGCAGCATTCATCAAGCCAGGCGCCGCCGCAGCAGCATTCATCAAGCCAAGCGCCGCCGCAGCAGCAGCACTCAGCAAGCCAAGCACCACAGCATCAGCAGCAGCAGGCTTCGCACATAACGAAGGAGGGGCAACAAACGCAGACTAAAAGTGCAGCTGCCGAGAAGCAAGCAGCCAAGAAGAAGACAAACCCCACGGGGAAAAAGAAATGATCAGAAGCAGAAGCTAATTGCCGGTGGTTTCGAACTGTGCATTATCAGTCGCCCGGTCTGTTTCTCGCCTTGACCATGCAAATAAATTCACGGAATTATGATGCAAACCTCGGGGTTACCAAAATTTATTTCCGAATTACCACACTGACCCGAACCGGACGCCGCCTTCCCTTCTGCCTTCCCGTCGCTCCAGTTCCTCTTTTTCAATAACAAAGGCATGATAACGGGAGGATATCAGAAAAATCAAAACAGGTAAATAAATTTTGCCCAGCCATTTGAATGTGACGGAATTTTGCAAAATGCACAGTTGCAA